AACGACGTTTTACAACGAACACATTTTAGCCTCAATTTAACCCTTTTCAAGTGCTTCTTGACAATTTTAAATTTTTTATAGGCAAATAGAGGCAAGGGATTTTTCATTATAAAAGTGTTGTCAATCTGACCTTCAAAACTAATTTGTTTTAAAAGAAACTGAAGAATTAAGAGCAATGGCTTAAAAAATGGTTTGATGCTTGAGTGTGTCATGATGTTATCTAAATGGAAGCTAAAATTGTGAAGTAATTACATTTACTAAAATCTAATTCAGAATACCATAATTAGCATCTGCTCAAAATGTTTGCGTGTTTTTCTTTCTTTTGAAAGCAAAACTTTAATCTTGTTTGTTATATAAAAATATAATAATATTGCTTAATAAAGTTTGATCTGAAATGTTAATGATATAATGAAAATTTTAACTCGTCTTCTTAGTTAAATTATTCCTTATTATTTAGTTCTATTAAGAGCAAGCAGCAAGTCAATAATTGACAAGAAGTCTTTAGCACACATGTGAAAACATCCGGGTTCTAAAAATCAGTTTGTATACTGCACCTAATGTCACACACCCTTTTTGGTAACAAACGTTTTATGTATTCTCAAATTCTTTGTTTTTAAAGTTAAATTCCAGATTAAGAAATAACATGAAATAGACCTGATGTACAAAACACCTAAATTTTAACAATAAATAAAACCTACTTATATTTTGAGAGTAACGAAGGCTAGTCATCAAGCAACGTAGGTTTTCATAATGTGAGAATTTTTAGTGAGACGTGAGAAGGTTTAGTTTTTCTCAAAGTTAATTGTTTAATCAAAAGTTCAATTATTTGAAACCTTGAACGGTAATACTAAAAAAGCGGACGACTAACATCATAAGTATATGAAAAATAATTTAGAGTTAAACTGGAACTGTGAAAATTTTTAAATTTCTATTAATTACTGGAAAACCGTTTATTGACTGATTGTTCAGTCATACGGGCGTTTAAAAAAGAACACCTTTTCAAAAGCAAGCACACTCAAGATCGGTTTTGGGTCTATTAGCACTCATTAAAAGTTCATCACAAGGAACCGTTCATATAGTAGATACTATTCATATCATACACATCAGAACCCGCAAGCATAAATACATCAATTGAATGTATAGGCTCTTTTATGAGAAATACAAACTGCTTATTTCTCTGTCTACAATCAATTAAAGAAGGCAAAATCCCATGATAAGATTTTTCTAACAAGCAGGCAATAAAACAGGATACCTACTTCATATAAAATTTAATTGTCATTTTCGGTTGTTTTGCCATACGCAAAAAAGTTTTTGCGGCATTCTTCGACACAATAGAAGACGATATGAATTAACCTGCAGATATTTATGGTCAAACATCTTCAAAACAGTTTTGTGTATTGAAATATCGGAAGAACAATACGACGGAGTTTAATGAAACTGGCTGTGAATATGCTTGCATGCAAGACTCATATTTTGAAAGTGCAATTGTTATCAGGTACCAGGACTATAAAAAACTTGAAAAAAAGCTCAGATTTTTGTCTTGCACTAATATTTGTGTCAGATTTTTCGGCTCTTTAAAAAATCTTGTAGCTTATGCGCAAAAATTCTCTCTTTCCTTGTAATTACACACTAACTGCAAATGTCGTATAAAGGGATGATGTTTCAGCTAAATTAATTGTCAAACGTTTCATAATTATTAACTAACCGACATGATCAAGGTCTTACGCCGCTCATCTTTTGCAAGAGTTTTGTCTCAATTTCGCTCCTCAGAAGTAACTGGCAGGTAACAGACTGGTTGATAAGGCTGATGATAAGTTGAGTTCAATCTGTTAATTAACCAGGCAGTTGCTTGATTGACCAGAAATTCTTGCTCTTTAAGTACGGCATCCAGGTTAATTTAATTTTTAAATTACACTTTCCTTAACCGCAGCGGAGCTCTCATGTGGAAATATTCGGATATTTATGAGTTACCTTGCCAGAAGTGAACGAAAATTGTTTCCGTAGGTCTCTCATATATTCCAAATAATTTTCCGTTAATTTATTAATTCTCAACACGATTCCCAAAATTATCCCACATTTTAATATTAGTTTTTAATTTTGTATTACGTTATTAATCTCATTAAAAACTGTCGCCCCCAAAATAAAATCGATTGCCAAAAATGTAAAATTCTTACATATTTTCCACGCACTGATAGATATTAAAAACAAGTTTTTGCAGTACTTGCATATCATTAAGATAGCACTTGCACTTACTGCGGTAATGCTGATATTCCATATTGACACAGTCTCTAACATTCGCTTTAGTAGCGGAACAGTAATTGGAACCTGTTTAACATCTTAGTGCTTTATCAGATTTCAAAGAGTCCCGTTCGGTCCAGCCACTTAGTTTTATTGTAACCAGCAACAGGTTATGAAGCCTGATAAACATGCTTCTTTAACACTAAATAGTTTTACTTATCTATAATTTGAGATGCAATTATTCCTAAATTAAATGCAATGTTTTTTGAATTATACTTTGTGAGTCTTTATCGGTCTACCGATTTGTACATCTTGATGTTGATAAATCTGGGAAACTGCAAATAGCATTTATTGTTTTTATTATAAAAGCTACATACCAGTATAAAATCTTTTTGATATGTATATCTTTATAAAATTTTGTACACTGTCAAAGTAAAAATATACGTTCCCATGAATGCCGCAATCATGAACACAACCTTCTATTGTGTTTCTATGCTCAATTTCCTGCTATTCGGACTCATTCAAGACACAAGGCCTGGTGGGTTCGATTGTTAGTCAGACAAAGACATCTCTTAGAAATACATCCACGTTTTGTATTAGCTTCATTTCCTGACACTTAAATTGAATTTCCAGATAAAAATACAAAATCAAAATGTGAAAAATGTCAGGAAAAAATAAAATAATTATAATTTGTCTCGAAAACGTATGAATCGTACTCACAGCAGTTATGTAAGAGAAGTAATCAATTTGGACCCTTAGGCTCATATCGCCCATTGCCAACTTCGCCTTTCTCATATTTAAAGATTATTCGCATTAAGGGAAGACAGTTATTAAATGTTACCATTTAGGTCAAGTGCCGTATATTAAGTATTATGTTATGGTTTATCCGGACAGTAAAATTAAATTATTTAATTTATCGCAACACACTAAGTTGAATAATATATCAAGGTTGTGTACGTGGGACTTAGTTAAGTTTCAGATTCAGCTTACAGCTTTTAAGGCCAAGCTAGACAACTTTAAGCCGCTTAGTATACAACAGCTACAAAATAATTAAATTGCGCGTTGGCGTTGGACTCGCAATTTCTTTCACTTCAATAATTGGAGTCAACAGAACGAAGAAATTCTCTTTAGAGTTTTGCTGACCCGTCTTTCAATGTCAATATTGCCCGCTTTTATCAAGTTTTAGAATTTATGCTGGAAATTGGTACTTTGCCACGATTAAATTAGCTAGTTAGTAAATTGGCGAATTTTAAATGGTCGGATCGGTTTTTTGACCTCAAATATACCTGATCTGATTATCGATTTGTTCAAAAACGGTCAGGTTGAGTGAGCGTTCACTCAATGTTTCTGTATTTTGATTACGGGCCATTTTATTGAGATTTTTCGAGCTACTTACACGTAGACTTACTTTAAAGTAGTTCTGAACGTGCCTAAATAAATACTGTCTAATGTTTGTTAAGTTTCGTTTAATTGAAAATTTGCTCAAAAAAATTATGTTTTTTAGATATCCAATTTGAGATCCAATTAGTTCAAAAAATCACTATATCTTTAAATATGAAATATCTCGTAAACGGTGAGAGATATTGACGTCAAACAAGTATACATATTATGTTTAGAAAATTTCGTAAAAAGTTATTTTACCAACCGTATAACGATGCTTGAAACGCCGAAAAAGTTCTGATGTGTTAAATTCCTCCAGACTATTGCAGCCAGCGCCCTCTAGAAACTAAAAGCCAACCAATAGGGAATTTGGATTTTCCGATCTAAAAAACCCCCAAACAGAAATTTTTGTGGTTCTAGTAAAACTGGTTAAAAATCTATTCAGAAAAAGCGAAAGTTTTATTTACACTTTGACACTCTGTATCTCGGAATCGACTAAGGTTCAGATGAGACAAATTTGCCTGAAACGCAATATTTTTGCCTAAACAATATGTCAGTGAATTTTCGGACATTAGTGAAACATGTGAGTCATACATAAGAACAAATTCGCAGCGAGTTTCAATAAAATACATCGTACTGTTCTCCCAATATTTCAAAAAAGATAATTGTTTTTTGAAGACATTGACCTTTGACCCTCAATAGCAGAGGAGCCAGACATTTATTGTTAATCAACGTTAGGTCAGATCGTCTTCTTTTGAGGCAAATAATATCGCAGTATACTTTTGATCATTAGAGACTGGCTTAAATATATATATGCTCAAACTTTGGCCACAAAAAGATAGTATTTTATTTTCTGCCCCAATCTATGGAGATAGAAACACAAGCACTCAAACAGGCATGTTTTAGCAGTTAGTAATACGGTCACCACCAAAGTACAGCATCATACAACTAATTTTAAAAGATTTGATGATTTTCACATGCATACTAAATCTCAAATGAAAATTTTCATTTTTGGCTTTTCGAAAGATAGAGAACAAACCTCAAATAATTCGGAAAATGAAGAAATATGATCGAACTTTCCTAATCAATTCAACGTGATTAGGCGGCTTAAATCAAATGTTAGATGCTTAGATATTATTACTTAAGTTATCTTTTATTCAGAGTAAAATACTTTCATTTGCCACCTGTATCGGAAAGTATTTAAATTGAAGAATTGAAGGCAGGATTGAAAATTAATTTTCGGCAAATTTTACTGAGCTGCTGAAAACTTCCCCTGAATGAGATAATGCTAAAATCAACATCTAGAGAAATTAAATCTTTAGGTAGGAAGGAAATCTTTCAGGAGGGACTAACTTATAATTACTTTCTTTCGTGATCCGGATCTAGTCAATGTCGCAAATGGAAGCACTTGAACAATGTTTCAACATGAACTGTCCACTTTAGAAGACATGACTGATAGAATGTCATGACAGGTCTAATATATATTATTGTCTTCCTCTCGGCAGATACATACTTGTTGTTTCCTTCATGTTCAATTTTGACGCAGTTTGTTCCAACTTCTAAAGAAGCCGTTGCAAACCGTTTTCGCTCTGGGATATTAATTTCTTTGTCCTCCATGCGATATCCTCGCACCACCTTCGTGACCGCTGTGATCATTTCGTCCATGATTATGTTGAATCGGGTGGGGCTTAGACTATCTCCCTGTCTTATCCTAGTTGCTACGGGTATTTTCTCGGATAGCATATCTGCCACTTTGATGGAGGTGTACTTATTACTGTTCAGTTTGGCAATGATAGTTACTATGCGGGGGTGTATATCTCTTTTCTGTGGGAAAGGCCCGATATCATATAGCCTTACTCTGTCGAAGGCTTAGACGAGGTCGACGAAACAAATGAAAGCGGGCTTGTTAAGTTCTATGGCTTTCTCAGTTATCTGTCGTATGGTAAATATTGCGTCTATAGAGGACCTGTTCTTCCTGAATCCTTGCTGTTCTTCGCACATCCCAGAGGCAACAAGTTCCTCCTCGAAAATTTTCGTGAGGAGTTTTGACATTGTACTTAGGAGGCCGATTCCTCTGTAGTTTGCTGGATCGGTCTTTGCGCCCTTTTCATATATTGGTATTGTTACGCTATGCTTCCCTTCCGCCAGTATGTCCCAATTGTGAAGTATCTCGTTAAAAAGTACCTGAATCAGCTCGAATAGTATATCGCCGCCGTATTTAATCATTTCGTTGGATATTTTGTCCGCCCCGGAAAAACTTTCTGTTTTTCAGTTTGCTGGCTCTATGTTCGATTTTCTCTCGGCATTTGTTCCATGATCGGTGAGTGTTATCGTCTATTTGTGTTAAGGTATTCTCGGTGCTGTCGTCGACTGCGGGGTACAGCTCCCGAAAGTGTTTCTCCGATGTTCGATTGAATTCTTCGTAGTCCGCATATATTTTTATATGGGTTTCGTTCCATAGGTCTAGCATTTCCACACCTTTTTCTGTCCTCCGTAAAGGTCCCGCTCCATTTCTTTGAAGAATTCTTCGCTGTTATTTCGACTTTGTATTTCGCTGTTAATTCTGTTTCTTGGAAGCTTGTACTCATTGTACGGTGACTTTGATCTGTACTGTACGTAAGACTTACGTATGTCCTTCGCCAGCATCTTGACCTCTTGAGTAAACCACTGTTTGGCATTTGGATTTCGTCGCCGCATACATTCTTCCGCAGCTCCTATTATGTTAGATTTAATTTTTTGCCAAGCGGTTTCTATTTCATCCGGCTGTTGCATTTTGCAGACCTGGATTTTTTCCTCCAATGTCTGTTGGTACAGATTTCTTGTTGAGTTTTCCGGTTGGAAGAAATATCCTGTTTTCGTCAATTTACTGATGTTTGTTAAATCACGTTTAACCGACAAGAATGTAAGAAATTACATTTAGGCCTTCTTCTCCTTAATGTGCCGTGCTCGGTCTCCCGAACGTTGGCGATTACTTTGGCGAATGCATCTCTGTCTGTAAATTGACATACCCGTTAATGATACTCGTAAAAAATGAAGATTGTCATTAAAAACATCGTCCGTGACGCCATATATCGAATTTAAAACAAATTTAACAATTTTTTCCTATATCCTAAAATGCCGCAATTTAAAATATTGAGCGACGTGTCTGTCCTTGTTCGGGAAAAATACTCTTGGATTTACTGAATTAATCCGAACTTAGGGACTCATACTGTGTGAACGGCACATTATTTGCTATTTGAAATTTAAAAAATACATGTTTAGTTTTGGGAACATCTGAACCAAATTACGTGCTTGCGGGTTTTAGGGGGGCGCGTCAAATTTTAATCCGTTAACGTTTTTTATAAACATTGAAGAGGGCGCATTCAAAAATAGTGAATCCTATTTAAAAGGTTTTTTTTTTCGCCCAGTTTAACAATTATTTATGACAAGACTTGTGTTTGTACACATGTTTTATAAAAACGTCTTTTGATAAAAGCCTCTACAGGTATTTCATCTTGAGATATTTGAGGTTTGAAGTTCGTCACATCTCTAGTGAAGTAATGATGCGTACAGATCAGTATCTCGTATGAAGTTTTAAAATGCAATCTGAACTTCGTGCTGTTAATAAATAGCTGTAATTTTATGATAATTGTCTTCTATTATTAAATGTTCGAAGTAATTTTCGTTAATAGCCCTACAAAGACTAAATGCTCGTACAAAGTTTCAATGGACCCTAGCCATTAGTTTCTCGTCGTTTCCTAAAATATCGAAAACATTTTCAATTCGCCCCAACAAATCATCTTCATTACTTACGGGCGTTCAGTGTATAATGGAATTTGGAGCCCCATAAAGAAGAATAAAGTGAAGTCAAATCCGGCTAGCGCGGTGGCCAAATTGCCGTAGGAGAATTTCCTCTGGCGATCAGTTAGTTTGAATGCAGATTCAAATGGTTTCGAACAGCTCTGATAAAATGTGGCGGAGGACAATCGTGCATGAACGGCATACCCTGGGAAGTTATAGAGGAATATCATCTAATCAATTTGGAAAAAAATTGAATATGATCCAAATAAGCTTCACCGTTTAAGGGAGGAGTCAAAATCACTAGACCAATAACAAAATTACTAATTATTTTTGCACACAATAATTCTAACTTCACATTGATAATTTACAACTTTAGTAGCACCGGAATTTTGATCACAGTAAACATGTTGATTATGTGTTTTGGTTATTTTACTTCTCGTAAAACACACTTCACCAGTACAAACCAAATGGTTTTGTATTTGCTCATCCATAAATCGGCAGAAGTCCAGTCGTAGTGCAGGATCCACTGGTAACCCCCCTTGCACTTTTTGGAAGTGGAAGTTACTTATTTAATCTATGGGTCAAAGCAACTGTTCTTTTAACGTGTTGTGAACAACACTCTTATATACCCCTAAGTCTTCAGCTAACCGCCTTATATTATTTTCAGCTCTTCAGCAAAGCAATCCAAAATGTATACTCCTATTTCATGACCTCTAATATAACGTTGCCGTCTACCACTGCCAGTAACATGAGCAAAGCTGCGGGTTTTGCAAAGCCGCCTCTCGATCCCAAAATACTTCTGGTGGCTTGGTGAGCGGCAACTTGGAAATCTTTCTCTAGAGACAGCGCACTTTCGCTGCCATTCTTTTGTAAGAAACTATTAACCAGTAAGACTAGAAAATTACATAAAACTTGTTTGATTGAATATAAACCAATTGCATATCGGTCATTTAACCGATTCTAATTTATGGCACCTTAAAACTTCCCGATCCGAGATTTCCTTCAGATTGTAGGATTGCAAACAAAATAATAAATAAAAATCAATGTTGTTAATTTTAAGTTTAACGCCTTCTAGTTCGAAAACCGTACACTTTTGGATTAGCCAAATTAGGTGAAATCGTTAGGTTTTCACCCCAGGAATCCCCAACTTTATCTGTGTACATCCTGTATATCATAATTTTCTCTCCAAATATCTTCCGTCGGGGGGTTTAATAATTTATTAAATAATATAAGACAATCTCCCACAACTGGACCGTACTGAA